AGCTTCGTTTCTTTTTTTTTTTTTCTTCCAATAGGAGCTTACGGATACTTGTCAATTTTTCCTTAATAATCAACGATTTTCTTCGAAAACTTCTGGTAACAGGTACGTTGATCATTTTATTTCACTCGACTAAACAGCGAATAAAGTTGCGCGCCACTGGTTTAAACGGCGGTCGGATAGCCAAGGTTCCACCGTACATTAAACAACAATGTCCCCAAATCATTTGCAGAGTCGAAGAATCGCCCTTTTCTCGCAACTGTCTCCGAATCGTTTCATTCCTGGCCATTGAGCATCGTTTCGTACTCGAATACGTCCGTTTCCGCGGCACGATCTATCGATCCGAGTACCCGCAGGACATCGCAGCAACATCGCCTCGCCGAGAAGGACTCTTGGAGTGCACTTGGTCCGTGGATCCCCGTGAACAAGATTTAAAGGGTCCGCGTAAACAAACGGGCCTGCCGTGCTAACCGAAAGCTGCAACATTTTTTTCCTCGACCTCCTCTCTTTCTCTCACTCTTTCTCCCTCCACTCTCGACTAAGTGCCATTATGCTGGTGCAGGCTACACCCTGTACGCGCGCGTAATAAAGCAACGAGGGAGAAACTGAACGAGCGAGAGACAAAGAGAAAGAGAGCGAGCCGTGAGCCCGCGGTGGGCAGACTTCGGGCATTGTGATGCAAATGTGTCTAATCGGCCGAGCCAGCCGACCATATGTCCGTTTGCGCACAACGAGCGCCAGCGTCGCGTTGCAGCGAGATGAACATGCTAAACCTAACCATTAACCATTATTGCGTACTAATGACGATCGTGGCCACGCTTAGTTAAACATATGACGGAACGTCGGCTCCTTGCTTTGGGTCACTGGCAAGCTCCTTCGCCTCCATTTCGGGCACATCGTTTTGGATCAAAAATTCGTGCATCGCAATGACGGTCGTGGCCATGTTTGAGTCCTTTCCTTGATGGCCCGTGCCTCGATCTCGAGTAACATGGTGTTTTAATTCGCGATGGATTGTGAGAACGAAGTTTGCGTGGCAGGTCCTAACGTGGACGCCTGGGTGATTCATTTTTAGATCTCAAACGTTGGCATCAAGACCTGTTTAGACTGAACTTAAATCCATGAAGTATGTTACTCTATAACAGGAGCTTTTGACTGCTTCAATTGAACAATTGGTATTCAATGAGGTGATAAATAATAAACAAGAAACGACATCAATTTCTGGTCCTCTTAATACTTCGTCTCGCAAAAAAATTTAAATAAGCATACCCACGTAATTCAAAATCGAGTAAACGCGCCACCATCGAAAACAGATTACCAAGAGATAATAACGCGTGTAATCCACCATTCGTCACGCTTCCAGGCAGACGGTTTCTTCGATTTCAAAGCTCCCATCCGTCACGATCGCCTCGTCACTTCCTGCGCCACTTGTCGTCGGCCACGAGCTGATATTACCGCTTCATTACCCGATTGTTCCAGCTTGCTGTTTACTTCATTTTTTTTTCTGCACTCGTTCGACGCGGCGAGCGCGAAAGAAAAAGGCGTTGATCGACCAGGAACCGTCAGACCGATTTCCGTTCGCGTTAACGGTTCGCGGACAGCAGTTGGTACGCGAGCAAAGCTTCACGGGCATTACTGTGCCTCGACGTATATTTAGGCCCGATTATTTATGATTACGATTATTCCGGACGGCTTTCGAGCGCTTTATTGAATGTTTAGCATGTGCTGGCCACGCTAATTCTGAACTGAACGTTTATAGCATGAGGGTATCTCCTCCTACGTGCTCTCCTTAGACGAGCTTTTGCTCTGTCGCTAATTCGCCCCGTTCGATCAAATTACTCGTTCGCGAAACAGCCTCACCCTACTCATGGCTGAAGGCCCCTCCCTTCACTGTACCATGGTTTTGCTCCTTTTTTACCCTTCCGCCGACTAATGACGATCGTTAATCCCCCTTCTGAACCGTTTGACCCCTTCTGCCGTCTTCGGGAGATATCTTCCTCGCGATTTTACATGACAATCGTGCCTGGAAATCGGTGACGATAGGAGCAATCAGGGAAAAGTCTCTTCGGTTGGATAAGAAACATAGCAGAGGTGAGTTTATTTCGGTGAGAACATGGCGTTCGGTCTGAATTGCTGCGGATGGTAGAATGATCGCTGAATTAATGCAAAATAAAATAAAATTGAAGTGCTAGTTTCGTAAAGCAAAATTGATTTTTTAATGAGTTATAGTTATGCTTACAGCTACGAGCAGCGATATATCGTTCCTCGGCACTCAAAGGGTTAAGTAACAGAATACCTATCAACAAAGAAAAATCTATTTTTTAACTCAGGAAACAGAGTATCCCCAAACCCAGAATTCGTGCCACTTCGAAGATGATTCGTAAACGAGTTCGTTCGTTTAGCATCGGCGCGGGCGTCCGTGCAGTCCGACCTTGCGATCTAAGAAAAACAATGAGAAGTTTGAGCAGTGCCGCTGGATTGTACATGACGCGAACCGGCAGCTATTTTGGTTCGGAAATGTTTTGCGCTTCGACGTTCAACTCCGCGATGACTTTTGGTCGACGGCGTAGGAGGCCGACCATTTATTCAAAATAATTACTCCGACGATACTCGAAGACGGTAGGTCCGCGTATCTAGGGCACGCCGACGCCGGGTATTTCGGGCGAACAAATGTTTCGCTGCTTCGACTTTAATAAATTAACAAACTTTTGTCCGTCCGGCCGGTCCGTTCGTCCAGTTATTTCCTATAATTACACGGCTCAGGCGTCGGGGGATTCGAAAACGGGAATGGTAATAACTCGTAAGTTAGCCGACGATAAAACGAGCTATCGTGGGTGCAACGCGCAATGAGCATAGCTTTCCGGTTTGCGATTCTTGTCCCTAGAGGAGACCTCAAACACCGCCGGAGAAAATCGCATACGAATGATTTAATTCTCTCTACGTCACGGCATTTGGAGAAACGGTGCATGGAATACCAACGTTTGAATATATTCGCCGTCGTGAAGTTAGCTTTTCGATGCCCTGTGTAGGATAGAGAGAAAGGAAATTTTACTCGAGTGGTATGCTAATGATTCGAGGTTTATAAATTGTTTCTATTATCATTTTTAATCTCTATTGCGCGCGATTATACGCAGAATTATACGTTAAGTTTTGAATTTAAGAAAGAAATTTGTTACTACTTTTAAGAAAACATTTACGAGCTACTCTCACTATCATTCGCGAAAAATTTGCATCGTAGCTTAACTAATCCTTACGTCAGAACGTTCCACGAAGCAACCGTCGACAATTATTGCCAAAGCGAAAAATCGTAAGGCCACGGGCACCGTTCACCCGGGATTGCGGCGTCGGCGTCGGTTCGACGACTTCGGCGACTCGTTTCAAATAATTGCGCCCCGTTATTATAACTCTCGTTACAAAACAGCCAGACGAAACCAGGCGTCTTAGGTGCCGAGACCTTTCGCCCCGGCGATTATTACGATGGTATCGCGTGAAAGGTGTCTTTGCACTCACGGCGTTTTCCACTCGCGAGTCACGTGCTAGGCGAGAGAAAGAGGGCGCGATGGGCGGCGACCACACGAAGAAAAAAGAAGGGACCGCGAACGTCGTATGCTTCATCTTTAAATAGCAGTGGACGTAGTAGACGCGGCGAAATCCATTTCCAAGTAGCTTAGGATGTTCCGTACGGACCACCCACGGTCACGTCTGCCCAGCTATTCGTCTTTTACGCGGAATCGGAGGCTTGCTTAAATCCCGACGCGAATTAGAATTGAATTTTCGCGCTAGCCAAATTGCTCGTCCCTTCGTATTTTCTCCCTTTCGCCATTCCGCGGACGTACGGCTCTGGGATCCGTGACAGCCAGATGGTGTCATACTCAGACCTGAAAATATATACACCTTTGAAAATTTATTATTTGAAATATCGCAAAACAAGGTTTGCATTTAACAAAAATTATAAATTGCACCCACGGAGGAGAGAATAATTCCGTGTCTACATTTCGAGACACTTGACTCCTCCACCTTTTGAAACGTTGACCCTGCGAATCCTCTTCTGTCGTCCCTAGGCAGATATCCTTTTCGCATACAGGATAACGCACCCACTGTCAGGATCGAGTTTCTTTCATTGGAACGTAACACTCGCGAGATAGATGCGTCAAGAATCGATAATACTTCTAGGCGTGAATTACGCGAGTACTATTCAAGGGGAGCGGGATTATTTCTGACGTCATCCATGCGTTTGTTTAATGAACGTTAGCCGCCTCTCCGCGTGCACAAATTGAGAATGGCGAGCGTAGATTGCGTACAAGTTAAAATAGAAGTCGTTCTCAGCGAACGAATGATAAGCAGATCGTGCGCAGACGCGGATTGATGATCTTTTCCTGTATTATATTAACTACTCGCTAATTGCCTATACAACATGCATTTACATGTGCCACATTTATATTTTCATGTGCAAATGTTGATATTCGTTGACGCAGTACCACGTTTTCCCATTCGGTGTCTTGTGTTTACGATGCGGCTTCAAATAAATCAGCATAGTGTTCTCAAGGATAATTAGTCGCAATTTATAATTGTTATTATCGAGTAGTCGTTGGAACTGTGAATAATTAGTTACAGGGAAGTACTGCTGACGATATTTTGTGTCGGAGTAGTAGTAGGAAATTTCCATGGTGTAATAGTTTCAATGGTCTTCAGGTATAACGATACTAATTTCAAACGAGTATCGCTGGAAGGGTAATCGAATTTAGTTCATTTCGATCTAACTTCCAAATTGAAATCTTTTAACCTACAGTGCTCGAATCTCCTGTTTCTGGATATCGAACTTGTTAGAAGGAACGAAGAGGTACCATCCAATGCGATTTATAATTGTCGTTCATCTTACTTTTCCGGTACAATTTTAGCATAATGGACAGAAAGTGTCAGGATTTCTGTGCGTCTGACCTTTTTGACAAGGTAACTTTTACTTGAGAATACTCTTTATTTCTGGTTAATCGCTTGACATCGTCGTAAATAAAATAACATTTTCGTTATTTTTATGATTTTTTATGAATCGCGGAATATTGACATTTTATATGCAGCTCCGCTCTTAAGACAATATTAGATATTCAATCAACGAAGGCTTCCTGGTTGTGTTCAAACGATGACAGAATAATTCTGTCTATAATGAACGCATTTAATTGCGCTTCGATTCTTGGATTCTAGCCAGCTTTAACACTACAATTCTTCAAACTGAAATTGAATTAATTACGTAATAAAGTAGAATGTTTCTATAGAAACCTGTTATGACAGTTCCATGGCAACGTCTGTGTTACAGAAATTAAATAAGAGAAGAAGACAGAGTTTAAAAGTGATAGAGGAGGAAATGCTAAAGAAAAGTTAATAGATACAAAACTTTCAGTCACGTAGTGACTGCTGGTTGCTAGTGCCAATTAAGCGATCACCGGATGCTCGAAACGTGCGATGGACGGTTCGCGAGACGCGACTCGAGCGATGTCAGCGAATCTAGCGTTCACGGCATTGTTAGGGTTCCGAGTAATCAGCAATCATGATTAACCCTTCGCTACACCACTTCTTCAAATCTAATAAAACATACAAAAATTTTCATTTTATGTACCAATCGATTTTTAAACATTTGTTTGAATTTAACGTAAAAGAAACGACATTACTTTCTGGTCCTCCGAATAATAAGGTCCTGCTCTACCATTACTGTAGACTGTGCAGAGTAGGGCCAACGAATATTCGGTAATCGCCAATCATGATCAGCGAATAATCAGACACGATCAGATTACAGATCACCTCCTCACGATTGGAGACGCTAAATACAGTTTGCGATCGCTGATTAATGCAGCCAATTACGAATGATTGTTACTAGTTGGTGTACTTAAAATATAACGAAAAATATTCAGGAGGATCATACAGACTAATCGCACAATATGCAACAAGCCCTAAGAGAAGTTCGCCTAAGGTTATGATCCCAACGCGGAGCGTATCGGTGGCGTGTCTTCGAGGGCATGGACAGCGATTTTCGATGGTCCCGCGATACTTCCTGACGTCATCGCGGCATTTGTTTAATGAGCAGCTACCAGTCACTCCCCACGTCGTCCCTACTCGAACAGAAATCGCGGCCAGAGGGAGACAGCTAGCCGCACACCGTGGAGGGGGCGTAGGGAGAGCGAGAAAGAAAGAGAAGAAGGGGAGAGAGGTAGTATCGTGTCGGACGCTGGACGAGGCGCACGCTCGATGCGAAGCAGCGCGTGTTTTCACGCGTGGAAACCAGGAAGCGGCGTGCACCAGGACACCACGGTCGGTCCTGGACCTCCACTTCGCCCCTGGTCGCAAGCACTTGCTCGTGAGCTGCGCGCCTCTCGGTCCTACGAAGACGTGAACACGTCCGAAAAGTGGTCACCGACCGTGCGTGGTCAGCCACGCGGGACGCGTGAGCGAAACGAAGACGGACGATCGTCGAGCGCGAACGAGCGCCTCCGAGCGACCGCGATCGTCGCTTGGGGTATCCTGCCTCGACTCTGATTGGTCGAATCCTCGAGGAAGTGGTCACCGTCGACGAGGGCTCGGACCACACCGCCACGTGAGTCGAACGTCGGGTCGCCAACCAAGATATCGCGCTTTCCTCGTATTCTGGACCACCGGATCTCTCCACAGCGCAGCCCCATCGCTAGATGAACGTGTTCACCGCTGGCTATCACCTGGAGAACGCGAATCATACAGAAGAATTTCGACCTTTGACGAGTACTGTGTTTTTTTCGGACAGCAAATTGGATGGAAGTTGGATTTGTGTGTACACGGAGGATCGAGGTGGTAGATTGATCACCTTGGATGACGTTTGGATGCTAGGGGTACTTTGCGTCGAGTGATTGCGTGCTTACAGAATTAAGCGATTAGCGGGTTCTTGTGTGAGAATCCTTAAAGTGGTCACCGTTGATCAGGGCTTGGATCACCCTGCCAAATCAAGCGCTGTGTTTCTACTCAAGGTATAACAGTCGCATCGTATTCATAAGCGCTAGGCCTTCTACAAGCAAAACACACGAGAAATCTCCATTTGTGTACACATAGAAACTCACGAAAGGAGCCAGCTGAACCTATACTTGTGTTTATTGACATTCGTGTCTCCAGTGACACGATCTAGTGATCGTACCTCTCGATCGTTGTTCGAACGCTATAGACGCCAGTGAACAATGACTGCTCCCAACGCGTAGCCTGAATAGTTAGGCGTTCCACGCAGCCAGTATCGGAGCAGGAAGCTTCTTGAGCTCGTAGCGTCGAGACCGCAAGACGGATCCGCTTGAACCTGGACGAGAGAGGGAGTATCGATCTACGTCATCTTAGTCATCACGTGGCGATCTTAACCTAGGCCAATGTCTTTACCCCACATGACGATGTAGCTTTCAGTCGGTGTCCTCTAGACGACCGCTTCCCTTCTAAATATAAAACTATCCCTCGACTTGTGAAAGTTTTACCATGGAAACGGAAGGGAATTTCTGGAACCTCGTCGTGGAGCAGCCCGGATTACCCAGCCAAGTTTGGGATCGGTCCTTCGCGAAGCTGACGCTGACAATTCGTTGAACTGTCTTCGTGACGCACTGTCTATCGACGAAAGAGAAAGCTGGTGTCTTACAGTGTTATAAATAGAAGTGCGCAGTGAATAAAACGCCCCCGTAGCTCGGTTCTTTTTTCCAGCAAATCGATACCCTTTCGCGGAACATTGTTTGAGAGGCGATCGGTAACCCGTTCGGGAAAAGATAGACAGCCAGTGGTAAATGTCACGCAAGGAACGCGCAGTGAAACTCGTAGATTAACTTCGATAGCCGCGTTAACGATCGAGCGATGACAGTATTATGACAAACAGCTGCTTATCGATTATCAGAGACCATGTATCGTCGGGAAACGGTAGATTCCTCGGGTATGCCACGCGTATCGAGTGGTTGACGCCGTTTGTGTCTCCAGCTACGAGACCAGTATATATTAATTAGATTAAGACAGATTAACGAGCCAGTGATTGGTTGCTGCATAGAAACTAGGAAGAATTAATCGGGTATTCCAGGTGTGAATATCTATCGATGATCTTTTTATTTAAAGATTCGATGACTCTGTGATCTGTGGTGTCTACAGGAATTTGGAACATTGTGCGAAAAACTAACGATTCACCCTTCGTCGTGAGAGAAGTGTTACAGGTGTTTGAAAATATTCTGCCTCGGCGTGGTTCCGGAACTGCCACTGTTACACTGGTACGTCGTCCCTTTGTTTTCGAGAAAGTAGTATCGAGTTTGTATCTTTAATGGGTATTTTGTGTTCCGAGTGTTGTTTTGGTATGATAAACATTAAGTAGGTCGAATTGAAAACGAACACGTGACTGTCCAGCTAACCCACAGGTGGACTCAGGTGTTGTACAGGTAACCTGTAGGTTTTTTTAGTATGTAGAAATTAACAATATATATATATTGATAGCATGGCCTGTAAAAATTAATTAATCGTATAAGAGTAAGCATTGCGTAGAACTGGTAATTTTGGGTTCAGGTGTAGAATACCTCATCCACTAACAACCATAGTTTAGAAATACTGTTTCGACATGTACAGTAGAATAATTGAATTGGAGAAAAAGGAGCGCTCATTTATTTAACATAGTTATGGCAGCTCTGTCAGTATCCCAACAGTTTAAATTTTCCTGTCAGGATTTTATTATTCGGAATCCTGAATGTAACCAATCAATGAAAATTCAGTAATTTCCAATGAAAATGAAGCTTACGTTATTCTCCATTCGTAACTGTCATCGAACTAGATCGCGTACGACTAGAAATCCATAGCAGAAAATGAAGTCAGGACAAGATTACTGTTCGCTTGATGTAATTGGAGGGAAAGGTATGAGAGCAATGATACGCGTGCACTCCCCAGCACGCCGATCCGGACAGTAGAAAATCCACAATCGCGAACGTAGCAACAGAGTCGGTTGACAGTAATTCATGCATCTTATGATTGATTCGTTCAAACTATAAATTGAAAGCGTTAACGTACCTACATGTTTAATAATAGAGAATAACATATCGCGCGTTTCGCGCTATGCCTTCGGCTAACCCAGACGGATATTTCGAATTCTCGATGTTGGAGAGCAGATAAACTCAATTTAAGACGTCCTTTTTCATTAATCAGGTCTGTTTCAATTTCGCGACCTGCAACTAGTAAACAGTATTTTCATCTCTGGGACGAGAAAATTAATTCACGCTGACGGCTTGATTCTTGCGTTATTTTCGGATTCGTATGACCTGATAACTTTTATTTAAAACGATATCGAGAATATATTCATGTCCAAGTGTATCGTTGAATGGCGAGGATAGTTTTGATTAAATCTGTTGAAATAGTATGGTGTGGTATTCGTTATAATTATTACGTTCTTTCATTGTATGTCAATTGTTTAAACGATTAGGGTTGTTGGTGAAAGTTGGCATCTGTATAATATTATTTTATCCGACAGGCTGAGAACTGTCAAAAGTACTCGTCACTCGCGATGCCACGTTACTCTTCAGAGACTGATGACGTTTACGTGAATTTCACCATTCTAATAACAAAGATTTTTTTCATTTAAGCAACCGAACTCGACAGTGAAACATTTCGTCAAACAAAATCGACATGCTAATCGAGGTAATATTCTTACCTCGTTCGCGAGATGCTAAGTAGATTCGGCCCGTTGGGATTTTATAGTCAGCCTGTACTGATGCGCCAGCTTTGAATGAATAGCTCAAGTACGGTCCGCGGCGTTCGGTTGGTGTTTAGTTGGCGAAACGTCAGCCAGTTTTCGTTGCCAGAAGTCTCCTCGGTACACTAACCATCGTAAAGACCAGTGAACGTAATTCCCGCAATAGTGTAAAAATAAAACAAACATCCAGATAACCGAACGTCCGCGGCGGATCTCCGTTTGCACGACGGGGCAATCGTGGCCGATGGTCGGTTCCAAAATGCTCGTCGACACGAAGCGCTAATCGCGGCTCTGCCCCGTAAACGGTCGAGTTAATGACAGGCAGGAAACAGCGTTTAATTAAAGTACGCACTTCCGGTAGGAACGTTTTCACGAGACCGCGTCCCAGCTCCGACAACAGTCGAACCGTCGTGCATTGCGTAATTCCGAATCGGAGATAAAGGAACGAATTATCGCGGACCGAGCGGTGTTCCCACGTTTTCCTTTTGGCGTTTGATCCGATCGAGAGCGTCTTGCGGGACGTATTCCGTTTGAGATCCCAGTGGAACGCTTGAAACTCTCTTGCGACGTCGCTGGAGAAAGATTGTTTTCAAGATAAACTACTTTTGGAATTTTTAAATCAATTAAATTGTGCGTAATCGTAGAATTATAAAGTGTTGGAAAGAAATGTCGAATATTAATATTGTTTCGGAGGGATAGTAACTATAGTAGCAATTTAAGATCTACGTCTATGAGAATATGATTAAGAATTGATGGAATATAATATTCATTCGTTTCGACCTTACTTTTAGGTATTCCTCTATAAATATTGATCTATACAAAGAATTATACTGCAAGGAATAGAATAAAAGAATTCTTTCTTTGTATTCGTTAATATTTACTGAAGGGAGCCAGAAAGTAAGATCGAAACGTCCAGATGAAATGCATTAATATGCTTGTTCCATCGCATGCATTTGAATTTCCATAAAAGAAAACGAACTTGAGAATTCTTTACATAAACCAACAGAACGTGACAATACGAGCTTTGGCACTTGTGTGATTAATGAATGACTCCCCCCCCCCCCCCTCTTAGTCGCTCGATAAATATTTCGAGCGTCGTTAAATTGGTTACTGCAAACGAGTAGCAATCGACAGGGTCGCGAGGTGGGATCGTTGCTTTGAAGAAACGTGATCCAACGTTCTGGCAAAAACGGCTGAACTCGCCGCGCCGAAAGTCACGGCGGAGAGAAAGCGATTCCTATGGGTCGCAACCAACGGAAGAGCAGGTCTGCTCTTCGATGTAAATGATTTTATCGCTGACAAGGAGACCAAGTGAAGCGTAACACACAAATGAAAGCGCGTGGATAATTGGGGAATCGAAAAATGACTTGAATCTTTAAGACCTCGAGAGATTTGTTCCAAATTTCTAACGTGAATCAAACACTTTTTCGATTTTCTAAATAACCGTCCAGTTAAATTGAAGTTGTATCGCTTCAAGTGTTCCCAATCTAAGTATTACAGATACCAAAAATTATTCCATAGTTTGCGTTTTATGCGTGACCGATTCGTGTGGGAAAGGCAACGCCGCCGTTTTCGGCGCGCGGAAACGTTTCATTGTGAACCGTCACAATGTACCAGATCCCGTGGAAACGTTTCACAATTAACGACCGTATCGTTTACGCAGTGAAATCGACTTCGAAACAAACGTTTTTGTCCCCAAATCTGTTATTGCGTTTACGTGACAACACGGCGCGGGGTGAACGAACTGAACGGCTCTCGAGGATGTTTAAAATTCTATCGAATTAGTATAATAGTTGTGTCACTGCTTTCTCATTTGCGCGAGGCTCGGACTTCTCGATTTATCGATGATTTCACGCCTTTGTTATATGCACGTATGTTAAATAAAGCATTTTCTTATGCTAAGTCGCGACAGGCTTTGGGAAAACTGATACAGTGCGTTCTCTGTTAATGTTCTCTTATAATATAGGTACCCTCTATTAAAGAAATTTCTTGAAATTAAACGTTAGGTTTGATGTTTCCAAGTGTATGAACTTTCAGAATTTCGATTTTATTTATTCGTAGGTGCAATTGATAGGCAAAGCTAGAGTGGGTAAAGTGGAGCATGCTGTATTTTCTACAGAAATCCTGAGAGGATGAAACGCATACGGCAGTTTCTGTCAACAACCGCCGAACGTCTGAGAAACGAGCGCAACTGTTCGCTGGAAGATTTTTCCGCATAGGGGGCGGTAAATTTCAAACTTGTTGGCAACAAGTGTTTCCCCGTGTTACACGATTGCACGGCTTAAGTTTCAGCCGCGGACGTACCAAATTTCCGCAACACCTGTTGCGAAACATTTCGAATTTGCCAGCTAGCGAACTTTCCTGTGTCTCGAGGCTCGGCTTAATTTCGTGAGATTATTATTATTATTTCCTTCGCATCGTCGTTGCCTCGTCGTCTCTATTTTTAAATATTATTGCCAGGTCCCCACCCCCTCTGTTCTCAAATTCCAGTCCTCTCTATCCTCTGCTCCGCATTATTCACCAGCCACTTATTTTTTATTAGCATTCAAAACGCCTTCGTCGCTGTTAAACTCAAAGAAACTGACGAAACAAACTCTTCGAGGATCGATTCTATTCGAATTGAATAACCAATCTTCCCCGGTACTCTAATTCGGGATCGTCTTTTAATTTGCAGCTGATTTATGCTAAACGTTTGCCTGCGATTCATCAGCGCTTCGACAGGCTGTCCTTCGCGCACGGCAAATGACGCAGATCATGACTAACGAAGCGGCTTGTTCACGATATTCTGTAATCGTCTGCTCGTCAATTAACACCGTGCCGAACGCGAGGCTTCATTACGCCACCTTTAAATTATGCACGCATATAAAAGAGTCGGAAACACCGAGCCACCGATGAACTACGTGACTAATTCTTTTTCTGGAATCCTAAACCGTGTCATCCGTGCTTCGTGCCCGCGGCCTCGCTCCGGAATGCTCGAGACGTTCGAACATTTTCTTCTCGGCGAACACGATTATTTCGGACGACTTTCTTTTCAATAACCAACAGTCGCTTTCGAGGTGTTAAACGATGATAAGGGGTTAGCTCGATTAAGTAATTCGTTTAGAAAAATTGTCGATAAAATGTCGTAAGTACTTCATTTTGGTAATGTAATAATTTTGATGATCTAGAGAAGCGAGATATTCTAAAACAGACGCTTGCTTAATACTAAAAAATTGATCTTTCAATTTGATTGATACGATAATTGGCCAGCGATTAGTAGATGAATATTCGAAGAAAATGTTGCTCTACGAGACACGGAAGAATCGTATAAAGCTTGCTAGAATATTAATAAGCTTGTAATCGACGGTAGCGCGTCGAAGAGAAAAGAGAAGGACGCATCTGTCACCGATGTGATGGGAGTAGAAACATCAGAGCTTCGACCGAAGATGATTCATTCTCGAAAAATCTCCGAATCGCCGACTACAACGCATACAAATTGCCTATAAACGTGTTATTAAATTCACACCACGCGGAATACTAAATTAAAGGCCGAGAATA